ATTTTTGGGTGAACTATCCCTTTAAGATGTTTTTAACTTTCAACTGCTGCTTCTGGCTAAAATACCAGTCCTCTATGCATAATAACGCTTCCTCCACTGAAAAGGTCGTTTTGTCTGAATCAGGAGCGAAATCTGCACAGATCAAAATGTCTTAATGATGGATGTGTTTCAGCTTTTGTCTTCTCCAGATGTTAACTGATGGACTGGAGTGGTGTGGATTACTTGTGGATTATTGTGATGTTTTTATCAGCTGTTTGGACTCTCGTTCTGACGGCACCCATTCACTGCAGAGCATCCATTGCGGAGACATTGATGCACTGCTACATTTCTCCAAATCCGATGAAGAAAACTCATTTATATCTCGGTTGAGTACATTTGCAGCAAATTTCCATTTTGGGGCAAACTATTCCTTTAAAGTGCATTTTAGGCCTAAGATTTTAAGAGTTTACAAAGTTTCCATTGTATTTTGCTGAACTATTCCTGCAACAGTTCAAATAGGACAAAGACCACAATTTTCCAGTTTCTTAATACAAATAACAAAAAACAAGTGCATGTTTCTTTAAAAGCATCTGATGATGTCATGAAACTAGACTCCAGCTTTAATAAATAACTTCGGCTGTTGGGTACATGACTGATTCCATTAGTAAGTGGAAATACTATATGTGTATACATATTTATAAAACGGACTTGAATATAATTAAGTGTATCTGTAAACGCCAACAGTCCCATTTGTTAAAGCTAATCGCACCTATTTGCGGTATATGCATCAGTTGTGATGGCTATGAAGTTGTTCTGGTTAATAACACTTCTTAAGCTCTGGTCCCAGCAAAACTTCTTCAAAGCAACTGAAGCTTCTTAGAAGACTCCAGGTTCTTAAGTGCTTAAAATCAGTCAAATAATGACATTAATAAGTGGCTTTATGTTACGCTGGGGTGGAAACGGACGCCTCGGATATGTTTGGTTGCAGGCAACGTGGTACCAGAGAGAAATTCTTCATCCTCGCGTCCAACATGACGCCACAGTTATGAAGCTCTTGCCTACAGAGAGGAAAAACAACTTGATTAAAAAGCAAAACAAATGCAGCGGGTTTGAAATACCACGTACAGCGACATCAAGATCCACTCCATACCAGTCGCGTTCAGTGATGCTGTAGAAGACGGGCGGTTTGTGTTCCTCTCCGTTACTGAATGTGGCCCCCAGACCCCTGGCCCCTGCGTTGCTGAAAAGCAGCCAGTCTCCGACATTGTCAAAACAACAATTAGGATATTATTGTAAACGATACATATTGCATGCCCCTACTGTACTATGACATCAGAAATTGTGATGTCCAAATAATTTTTGAGGCCACTGTAACTTCTAAATGACTCGTCGTATTCTGTATTCTCTCAAAACTCAAGAGAGACTCACTTGACTCCTGTAACATGCAGGCTGAGCTCTCTGGCACACTTCAGCAAATGTCTGCTGTCCTTTAGTGTGGAGCCGAACGGTATGGCCATCTCCTCACGGTCGCAGCAGCTCTCCGATGTCAACAGCAGCAACACCCTATTGCAGAAAACCAGTTCAAGAAGAGAAGATTCAATATTAAACCAATCCAGTGCATTAGTGCTCAGAGCTCTTGGGTCCTAGCGATATCCACTGCAAACACAAGACATGCGAGAAAAAAATCAATAAATGCAAGCTAAATTATAGGGCATAAGCAATTACAGTCATAAGCTTTTCAGTCATTTATTTAGTATCTTATTATAGATCTTATTATATGAAACAATATTATATGAAACAATAAGCATATATTTTGATATTAATGGATTTGCTTTGAAAGTGTGATTTTGAAAGGAATCATCGTTTCAAGCAAACATTCATTGTTGCCAAGAAGAAAACAAATAAATATCATTACAATAATATAAAAACTTGCATTTGTACATCACCCACAAACAAACAAATTTCTTTAAAAAAAAACATCAGCCTTTTGACATTTTTAGGGATCAATGTGTTGGACCCCAGCTGTTAATTGCAGCTATATTTAATGCTCGTTTTATTCTAGGTTATTTAAACTGTACAAATAGGTATGGCACATTCAATGCCATGTTTGACGTCACAGCAGAAAGCCTCCTGCAGTGCACATCGATCAGAGCAGCAGGTCAGAAGAGTCACTGACTTCCACAGACCTTGGCAATCCATTCTCTCAGCAGGTCTAAAAACAGCTAGACTGAAACTGTTTAGCAAGGGTGGGCGGTATGACTAAAATCAGAGCTTCCTCATGCATGTATACAGTAGCACACCATAAGTGAGGATACAGCAATGTGAACCTACAGGGATAGGTCAGAGGTCGACCTCTCCAGCTATCAGCTAGGATCCCAAGGGGGCTCCGCGTTGAAATCGAACTGCTCACGGTAGACACAAGCCCCTAAGTTGTTCTCGTAGTTCACGTACACCTGCAAAAGACAAGAAAAATCATAAATGAGGTGTGTCAAAGAATAGAAAACAATGAGTAGAACCATCAGCGTCACTGTTAAAGTATATATAACTAGAAATTAAAAAAAAAAAATACTGATGCTGATAAGCTGTATGGATGGAGAAACAGAAAAGCTTTTTCAAAGCAAATTTTTGTATATTTACACACACAAACATTTTTTCTTATATTCCAAGGGCATTTTATATTAAGTATACACGAAGAATGGGGAGAATATATATATGTACACACACACACACACACACACACACACACACACAGACTGTTATTAGAAAAATCTATATATATATATATATTTAAAATCTATATATATTTCAATTATATTTAATATAATTTTTAATGACAATAATACTTTTAATATAATATAAAACAGAAAAACAAAGTGTTTTTCATTCTCAAACCAAATTTTAAACTGATTACACATACATTTTCCAGCTGTTTATTTTCTGAAAACTTTAAAAAAAAAATAGAAATATAAGTAATTTATACATACATGTCGAAATTAGACACCAGGAAATGACTGAGGCGCCAATTCCACAAGTCTTTTTCATCGATATAATACAAAAGGTTTCTCATATAATTTTTTTTAGCGGTTAACAAAAACTCCTTGGTTTATCAAATAACAATGACATCATTAGTGTTTATTTGTGATGATTACACAGCCGACATTCGCGATAAGATTTAAATTACGGTGTAATTTATTGCTAACCGTCACTTAGCCAGCTAGCAGCTAACATTACCGGTATTCAAGTCATACACTATTTATCTTAATAACATTCAAACATAACGAGTTAATTCAGACTGAAAGCAGTCAAGTGATAATAAACAACTCGAATATTGTCGTCAAATATAAACAAGAAGCTAACAGATACACGTTAGCTTATGAACCCAGAGCTACTTACACGGGAGAAATAGCGAGCATTTGAGGTAAACCGTCTTCTCTTTTTTGGCGGAATTTTTACAAAATAATAAGAGCACTGATATGAGAGGTAACGTTAATGTTTTGAGCCATATATCTACGTAATCCAATGAGACTCTAGGACGGTTGTGAAGGTTGAGGGATGAAGCGCGTGAAGAAGTCGGGGCGATCATTTAAATGAAGTGGTGAAGGGAGTGAGGAGGCGGGGCTGTTATGTTAATTAGGCGGTGAAGCGCATGATGGGGCGGGGCTGTTCACTGCAATGCGTAGAAAAGTGGGTGGAGCTTCAGTTTGAATAATATGAGCGAGTGAAGGAGCGGGGCTTAATTTATGCTGTGAAAGGGGCGGGGCTTTTGTTTAAATAGTTTGTTGCGAGTGAACGCAGCGGGACAGTCAGACTCCATGGAATCAAAATAAGAGTTTTGTTTTGTTCTCCTAATCCACTTCTGTTAGCTTTGAGTCGATCTATATGCTAGTGCAGCTGATAAGTGTAGGATAATATATAGTCAGCCAGTCACAAACTAAACAACAACCCAATATCTGCTAAGAGTTAATATTCAAGAGTTATTTATTAGAGTATTAGAGAGTATTATTAGAGAATTAGAGTATATTAACATAAAAATGAAATTAACATTTCCAAGTGAAATCATAGTAGCCTACAGCACCTATTTAAATTACAGGATGAATCCAATTAAGTAGCCTAAGTCAACAGTGCAACAACAAAAAGCCACAATTTAAACATATACAAAATATACAGACAACATGACATAATGTACAAGCTTTATTTCAAGATTGTTTGTTGATAATCTTCATACATTAACAAGTGCATGCAGTTGCAAAGCATAAACAATGGCAAACAGAATCTTTAGTGAACAATTGTAAATCATATGTGCATAACAAAATGTTTTATCTGAACAAACGTTCTTTATCTGATTTTTTTTATAACTTCCTTGTATAGTATAATGCATAAACAATATAGTATATTACATAGTATACAAATACCTTCAAATACCATCATTTTTAACTTTTCGTTTTTGTTTGCTATAGTTAAAATTCTTCAAATAATCAGATCAATATGATGGTGTTTTGTAGTAATATTTATATTAAAATGTATTGATATTGATAAGAAGGAAGAGTGACATCTCATACCTGAATGCCCAAAGAGCCTTCATCGTCTCGACAACAAAGTCCCTGTCAGAACATGGTCCATTTTGCACTTTTATAGCGTGATTCCGGATAAAACATGATAAATAATTCTGAATTTATTGCACTGTATGTTAATGTCTGGAATGACAGAATGTCCTACAGTATCTTGCTTTCTTCATATAGATGAGCTGCTGCTTCAGTGTCCAGTCTCTGGTGAAATGAATCTAGTGACCACACTAACATCCACAGTTTATAGAGGGAGGCGCTAATGGATTCACAAGTTTCAAAATCAATGTTCTAAAGCAACGGTTCTTAATACTGTTCCTCTGTTTCCCCTGCTCTCTCTCTCTCTCTCTCTCTCTCTCTCTCTCTGTGTGACATTCTTCTCAAGTTTTTCAGATAGTCAAACTGTTCAAAGTTCTGATTCACCACATTCTCTAGAGTAAATGATAAAGCTAATGACTAATTGATGAAGATGCTGACTTAAATAGCACTTTTGAAATAGTAATCAGTGAACATCTGGAGAAGACAAAAGCTGAAACAAATCCAGCATTAAGACGTTTTTGCTTGCAGCTTCTGGCTACAATATGAGTCCATAATCCATAATAACACTTCCTCTAGTGGAAAAAGTGCATCTCCTGTTGTCTCTCACATCAAAATCCAGCCACATATTTGTTTAGAGCTGTTTTGGCTTGTAAAAGCTGCTTGATCTGTGCAGATTTCTCTCCTGATTCAGACCAGACCACTTTTTCACTGGAGGAAGCATTATTATAAACATCTTAATGCTGGATTTGTTTCAGCTTTTGTCTTCTCCAGATGTTAACTGATGGACTGGAGTGCTGTGGATTACTTGTGGATTATTGTGATGTTTTTATCAGCTGTTTGGACTCTCATTCTGACGGCACCCATTCACTGCAGAGCATCTATTACTGAGACAGTGATGCAATGCTACATTTCTCCAAATCTGTTCCTATGAAGAGTCAACCTAAACATTTCTGTGCCACGATATGTTACAGACACAAATTCCTCTTTTGTGTATATAGTTCCCTTTTCTCCGATTGCTGAGTCCTTTTACCAAAAATAGTTTCATGAGAATGTCAAATGAGCCAATTGAGCTTCACAATAGCTCTGTTTGTTTTACTCACGTCAATGTTGCTCGGACTGCTACGCTTGTCAGTGAAAGTTGCTCTTTTGCAGCACACAAAAGCAGTTCCGAGTTTTGTGCCGACTCCCTCTAGACTATAAATGAGCGCATGGCATCTAATCTAACATAACATCTACAGCAGCTCGGAGTGAACGGCACTGTTTGATAACCATTGTTCTTGGTATAATGTGATCTGCTTCTGTAGGCTTGTTGAAGGAAGGACACGTGGTTCGCCTGCCATATGCAATAACACCCTACTGCTCTTGAGCAACAGGAATTCTCCTGAGCTTTAAGACCCTAAATACAATACAAAATAAAGGAACTCTCCAATAACCTAAAGTATTTCAGATAATCTGATGGGAGAAAACAAAAGACATTCTAGTAACAATAAAATTGTGAAATTTTCCAGTGAAAGTAATGAAAGTGATTTACGTCATTAAGTGACTGGAAATGTCAACAGTATTGCATCACAGGTGAGACTGGGTCTAGTTGTCACACTTTATAGTCGAGTGAATATTTTTCATGCTGTTTTTTTTTTTTTGTCACAAACCTAAGGTGAAGTTCTGGCAACCACAGCTGCCGGTATTTTACCGTAAATGTCACAGATTTTTTTTTTTACAGTGTACAGTATATCTCACAATTTTGAGTTTATATGTCTCACAATTCTGAGTTTATATCTCGCAATTCTGAGTCTATATCTGGCAATTTTGAGTATATATGTCTCACAATTCTGAGTTTATGTCTTGCAATTGGGGCAGTCGTGGCCTAATGGATAGAGAGTCGTACTTGTAATCCGAAGGTTGTGGGTTCGAGTCTCAGGTCTGGTAGGGATTGTGGGGAGAGTGAAAAACCAGCGCTCTCTCCCACCTTCAATACCACGACTGAGGTGAGACCCTTGAGCAAGGCACTGAACCCCCAACTGCTCCTCGGGTGCCGCAGCATTGGCTGCCCACTGCTCCGGGTGTGTGTGTGTGTGTGTGTGTGTGTGTGTGTGTGTGTGTGTTCACTGCTGTATGTGTGCACTTGGATGGGTTAAATGCTGAGCACTAATTCTGAGTATGGGTCCCCATAATCAATCCGAATCAATTGGCCACATATCACTTCACTTTCACAATTCTGACTTTATATTTCACGATTCTCACAGTCTCTTCTGATTTTTTCTCTCTCAGAATTCTGAGTTTACATCTCGCAACTCCATCATGGAATAAAAAATAAAAAAACGTAATTGCGACTTCTTATCTCAAAATTCTGACTTTTCTTCTCAGAACTGAGACTATATATCTCACAATTCTGACTTTATAGCAATCTGCTTTTGTGTTTTTTTAACAAAAAAAATTTTTTAAATGGCAGCATGTTGAGAAAGAACGGTGAGTAAATCATTTTGAAAATTTATGTTTTGGAGATGTTCCACTAATGACAAAAAATTGTTATAATCAAAGCCCCAGGACCCATTATTTTTGGAAATAATTTCTCAATCACCTTGCTATCCTTTTGTGTTCCCCAAGTTGTGTATTTGCATGTTTCGTGCATATGTAGGAAACTAAGGAAATGGATGCGAGGGTTATAACAAAAAGCTTGGGACAAATTGGAACCCTGGACTCTGGGCTGGACGTCCCTAGAGACTAAACAAGCCGTGTTTCTTATTCCCCAGGAGCTCGGGCCGGCGGGCGGGTGACTGATTAGAGCACGCGTGCCCAGACATGTCCCTATCGGTCTGGCTGCCGGCCAGTCATGGGCAGCCCACCCTGGTGTTTGATCTGGGGGTTTGGCTCCAGACAGTCCCGGCATTGTATCCCAAACAATGCACCCCAGACCTACTGAACTCCATAAACATATCCCTTTGTGGGCTTTTCCTCAAACTCAGGGTGGGGGACACCCGCTGCCAGGAAGAGGGACTCCTATCCAAAAAAAGACCGCTGTGCCTCCCTCGCCGGCTGCTGACTGGGCATTCCTGCCTTTAACCTCCAGGGAAAAGTCAGCTTCATAAATTCACAGGCCGCTGGATCATAAAGGTGTGCTACTGCATGATGAACAAAAGTAGTAGTCAGCTGTTTATTCTACATATAAATATATACACACACACACACACAGTATACTGTATATATATATATATAAACTGAAATAATAAAATATTAAATATTAAACATATACATATTTAAAAATGATGTAATATTTTATTTAGATTAAGTTAAAGAACTAAAATCACTAACTGGAAATAAATAGAAAATAAAACTGAACTAGCACTAAAAATAAATAAATAAAACCAAAATAGCAGAATAGCAATATAAAAAAGATATAAATGACAAAAGCACATTAAAAAATTACTAATTACTAAACTATTGTACAAAAATAAAAGCAAAATCAAAATATTAATAAATAAATAAAATATGAATAAAAACTGTAACAGTGCATAAAAAATATTAAAATTATAAATTGTATTATATATATATATATATTATTATAATTTATGAAAATTGTATACATGTAATTATATTTTTCCGCTGTATATTTCTGTATAAGCAATGTATGCAATGTAAATTTACGTGACAAAAATCACTTGAACCTCCCTGTATTCAGTTTATAATTTTTTCTTAATGTGGTATATTTGTGTACTACGGTGGCTCAGTAGTGCAAAACAAATATAGTGTTCTCATGCAAATCAAATTTGATTTTAAGTGGAGAAAGTTCAAACATAACTTTATGCCTCATAACACTCCAGTTTGGTATAATAGATACATTAAGTTTGACAGAAAGTCTGTTTTTTTGTTTTTTTGAGGAATGGAAATCCAAAGAGATTTGGGCTATAGCCCTTTTTTAGATGGGAATGGAAATCTGCTATTACTTCGAGAGTTTTGCAAGAAAGTGCATCTGCAGTGCAGTTAATATTTACAATAGAATGATTAGAACTGTTACAGTTGCTTTGAGATTAATGGTTAAAGAAGTTCCCAAGTTTCCCCAGAATTGCGGCAACTTTCCATAGAAGGTTATGATTTTTCTGAGAAAAATTTACTTATAGAGTTATTAGAAATTTTATTTTACAGGCTTGTTATCCAAACCCAATTAGATGGGAATACATGTGTAAAGATTTTGATATGGTGGAAATTAA